TGGCAGCAAGCTTCTCTTACCCCCAGCTCCAGACCTGGGAAGGACCAGGTACCTCTAACTGCACGTCTCAACCGACCTCTTCAGCTTCCCTCCTGTGCCCCCCATCTCAGGGGTTGACACCATCATCTACCCAGCTGAGAGTCTCTCCACCTTCACACCCACCTAGTGCCACCTCCTCTCGGAGTGGCCTCCTTTGTCCTGCTGTCTGCATCTCTGGGGCCATGTGTGGTCCCTGTCCAGCTGCCATCATTCCCCATTTGATGGCAGTGACAGTCTCCTAAGCCACTGCTCCCACTTGCTACGTCTGCACAAAGGAGTCAGCAATCTTCTTAGAAATGCGAATGGGATCCTGGCACTCTGCCTAAGGCTGCATCCCTCGGCGAGAGATGCAGATCTGCTCTGCTCCTTGCGATCTGCTCCTTCCGGTGTCTTTGGCATTGGATCTGCTGTTCCTGTCCCTGTGCTCTTTCCTCTAGGTTTAGCTGACCCCCCTCCCCTCCCAGCCTGTGAACTCGGAGCATCCCTAAGCTGGTAACTTCCCCTGAAGACCAGAACCATCTTCAGGTCTGGGCAGAACCGTCACTTCCTCCCGCTGCTTTCCTTGACCTTGTAAGGAAAGATGCCTATCCTGTGTCTCCTCCACCCAGCCCTGAGCCCTGGTACAACTGTTTCCTTCTAGATCTCCCTTCTAGAAGCGGTCCCCTGAGGACAGGGACCATGCCAGTGAATGTTCCCAGCATAGCACTTCCCACACAGAAGCTCTTCAAACAGTATTTGTTAGAGGATGAGTTCTGTCATTTGGAAACTGATGTGATAAATTGAATGAATAGATTTACTGATATTAAACAATCGCCACATTCCTAGGATAAGCCCTAGTTGATCACGGTGGAAGTTTCTCTTTCTGCATTATTCAATTAGACTCTTAATGCCTTAGGATTTTTACCACTATTTTTAGAAGTGAGACAGGTCTGTACTTTGTCTTGACGGGCTACCTTTGGCAGCTTTGGGTATAAGGGTCACATTGACTATGAAAGATACATTGGGTGGATTTCAGAATATGTGAGTTTACGGGATATTGTATTAGCCTTGCCTGATAAGTGCTTGCAAATGAGTATGAACTCACTGGCAGAACTCTGGAAAAGGTGAAGAACTTGAGTTTCTTCCATGGTTATGGGACTTACAATGTATTCTCCATTTTTTGGAGTCAGCTTTAACTATTCACATCTCCCCAGGAAATCCTCAGTTTTCCCAGGATCTCCAAGTCCCTGACACAGAGATCCTCAAATTCTCACCTTCAAAGTTTGACTCTCTTCTGCAAATGTTCTGACTGGGGTCACATACTCCTTCTACCTATCTGCAGCAGTTAAGAAAAAAAAAAAGGAGGGCCGGGCGCGGTGGCTCAAGCCTGTAATCCCAGCACTTTGGGAGGCCGAGGCAGGTGGATCACGAGGTCAAGAGATCGAGACCATCCTGGTCAACATGGTGAAACCCCGTCTCTACTAAAAATACAAAAAATTAGCTGGGCATGGTGGCGCGTGCTTGTAATCCCAGCTACTCAGGAGGCTGAGGCAGGAGAATTGCCTGAACCCAGGAGGCGGAGGTTGCGGTGAGCCGAGATTGTGCCATTGCGCTCCAGCCTGGGTAACAAGAGTGAAACTCCGTCTCAAAAAAAAAAAAAAAAAAAAGGAAAAAGGAAAGGCTTAGGGTCAGGACAATTTAGCATAGGGCCTGCCAAGGAGTAGTTAATAAAGGAGGCTTTATTCCATTAAGTAATCAAGACTGGGAAGGAGCAGACACTTTTCAGGCCAAATAAGATCCAAATCTTGGCCAGCACTGGTAAGCAATTAACCCTAGACAATTTCAAAATTTTTCTTTTCAAGTAATATAGGAGCAACCTGGGGGGAGATGCCAGCTGCCACGTGGCACCCAGCCCAATCACTGGGATGGTCTTTTACCCCCTTTCTAGCCCCAGGACCAGGAGTTTCATATTTTTGGAAACTTCCAAAAGGGGATATAACTCTGCCCATCTCTCAGGCCAAGGGCTTGAGAATTCCTAAAACACCGGAGGATCCTGGCCAGGAACAAACGTGCTGGAAGGACCCGGCCTGGGGAAGGCCGGAACAGAGAACACTGGAGGCAGGCAGAGAGCGACAGGGGTTAGTCTGAAGATCCCCGCCTGTGAACAGAGAGCTGGAACCAGATGGCTGGGCTAGGGCCCACCCCCAGGCCCTGCATCTGTGTGGTCTGAAGCCCACTGCCACAAAACCTGGGTTAGAGGGCTTTGCAGCCCTCTCTCTGCTCTCCTAGCTGGCATTCACCGGCAGAGGGAACCCTGCATATCCTTCGCTGATCACCCCTGGGCATCCAAGGTGGCTGGCTGCAGAGAGCCTCCAAACAGCTTCCCAGTGGGCAGATGGCCCTGGGTGCTTTCCGTTCTGCCAGGAGAAGCATCTTGGTGTGGTCACATTACATATACTCTTTCTGATCTTTAGTTTGTGCCTTCTGTCTTTTTTTCTAGATTAAATAGGTCAGAGGGTGGCTTTTTCCAAAGCTCTCTTCTTCACTGATTCTACATGTTGCTTCTATTTTCTAATTTGTTGATTTCTGCTTTTTCTGAACTATTTCCTTATTTTTGCTTTCCTTAGGTTTTTGGTTTTGTGGCTATTGAAATCCATTCAAATGTGCTGAGTTGAAGGCAAAGCTAATGTGTGTCAAACACATCACATAAGGGAGAAGCTTTTGGAAAACATCTGTGAATTTGCCTCTGAAATACAGCTTTAACCACATTCCATAAGATTTAACAGTAGTGCTCTTATTTTTATTAGTGTTCCAAATAATCTGTAACTTCGGTTCTAATATTCTCCTTCCTTGCTCTGTTGCCCAGGCTGGAGTTCAGTGGCATGATCTCAGCTCACTGCAACCTCCACCTCCCAGGTTCAAGCAATTCATCCACCTCAGCCTCCCAAGTAGCTGGGACTATAGGCGCCCACCACCACGCTCGGCTAACTTTTGTATTTTTTTTTTGTAGAGACAGGGTTTTACCAAGTTGGCCAGGCTGGTCTCGAACTCCTGACCTCAAGTGATCCACCCACCTTGGCCTCCCAAAGTGCTAGGATTACAGGCGTGAGCGACCATGTCCGGTCCCTAGTAGGTTTTTGTTTTTTAAGTTTTCAAATGAATTAGATTTTTTTAGGTTTATAAATTCTGCTGCCCCCATCCCTAGTTTTAGGCATTTCATCAGAGAACATAGACTAAATCGTTTTTGCTATATAAAATTCACAATGTTTTCTTTATGTCTCAAAATATTTCCGTAATTTTTAAGTGTTCTATGATTCCTCAAAAAGTAGGTACATCTTTTTTTTGTAGGGCACAGGAAACAGTGACATAATTGCTAATTTAACTTTACTCATTGTGTCATTCAAAAATTCTATGCCTTATTAGCACTAATCTGTGAAAGGCTTTGAAAAGGGTATTAAAGACTCTCATAGTTAGGTTTTTGCCAATTTCCCCTTCGTTCCAAGGATTTGCTTTGGGAAGTTTTGTGTTCTCTTTGGGGTGGGAGGGGGTGAAGGCCCATAACTGGCATCTGCCCTGTGGGTGCCTTTGGTCATGGTAGAATGAGGTGTTTGGTGGGTGTAGGGGAGTGGGCCCCAAGTCTACTGAGTGGTCTTTGGGTGTCCTCTGCCACTGGAGCCCTTCGTTGTCATTTTTACATTGTGTGCCTTGTAAGCTGGATGCAGTTTGATTTTATTTTTTGAGACTGAGATTCTCTTTGAACAGAGTTCAACCTTTACATAATTACCAGATGTATTTAATCCTATTGTGATTTGATTTTCCATGCACAGTCAGACCACAGACTTGAATTCAGCTGTTTGAGTGAGAAGCCTGACTCCTCAGGTGCTGGATGGCCCTGGCCACTTACCTGGGCATGCCACTAAGTCACATTAAACCTCAGTGTTCTTATCTGTGAAATGGGCAGGGTCACGGCATGCACCTCTCCATCTTCCCTGTAGATTAAGTGACTCATCCATGCAAAGTGCTTCCAGCACAGCTGGTACAGGCACTTTGCAGTCCACACTGGCCACGCCATGGGGCTCCTCTCTTCCTCTATCTCTGTCTGCACAGCATCTCATGTTTCCATCCCAGGTCACTGTCCCTGGCACCTATACACCCATGCACACTGCTAGGAAAGGGCGTTCCAGGTTTGGCTGCAAGAGGAAGTGGGACAAGCAAGGGGGCCCAGCTGGGGCAGCAGCTGAGGCCTGAGGAGGGGAGGCCACAGTTTTAATACAGGGGAAGGAGTCCAAGGGAGGGTGGTGTAAAGCACGTGTTTCTGATGCTTTGACATCTGAGCCTTGCTGACTCTGGAGGGACTGCCCCTTCTAATGGTAGCCAATTCTTAGAGCTAGGAAACAGCTCATCCACGAGCACAATTTTCAGATACAAACCAACCAATCCAGTGCCCATGTCCCCAGCCACCTCCTTTATCAGACTTCACACTCTGGGCCATATCCACCTGCCCTTATTACCCAGGGCCAGATGCCAGGAAACTCAGGACCGCTCCGCTCCCCAGAGCCCACTGGAATTACTCAAACTGGCCAAGCTTAAGCCAGCTCACCCTGCCCCCGTCAGTCCTTCCTGCAGAAACAACATGGGCTCGGGCTGCGGTTTACCCAGCTCCCTCTGCCTCCTGATCAACCCTGGTGCCTCCCTGTGTGGCCCCGGTGGCCTGGTATGGCTCCTCCTCTTGGGATCTGTGGGTAGCAGACTCTTTTTGATCAACAATAGTTTTAAAATGGCCACGTTTTAAAACTAGGACTGAAGGGGAGCAGGGATCTAGGAGCGGCTCATGAGTTTCTCGTTTCTTGTGGGACCCTCAGGGCAGCCAGGGAGAGGCAGGGTGGTTTTGGAAAATGCAAACACTCTCTAAGGATCCCCACACCTCACTTCTGGGCCTCTCACTCCGAGGGGGTGGAGGCAGGCCCAGCCGGTGCACTCACCTTCCCATAGCTCAGGAGGATGATCCGCACCAGGACCACGTTGATGTGGGCCCCCAAGGACTCGTCATGGTAGATTTCATTGACCTGAAAGAAACAGGGAGGCATCAGTGGGAACCATAGGCCCTTGAACCGGCTCTGGCTTTGCCAATGGGATGACCTCCCAACTGGCCCCCAGGCCTGGGACCCCCACCTGCTCCTTCCTCTTCTCATGCTTTCCACCCAGGAATCACTGTCAACTGGGATCCGCCCTATGACCTCTCCCTCATTGCCCTCTTCCCCTTGCCCCTCCAGGCTGCCACCACTGCCTGTTGGGATCACTGCAGCCCCTTCCTGAGCAACCCCACCCACCAGCCCAGGGATTCCTCACCTGGGGCCTGAATGTGGAACGTGGACAGGGAAAGCAACCCTACACTTGCTGTGGCCTGCAACTGAAACGCCACCTTTCTTTCCACAGCGAATGTGGGCAACGGACCCCAGAGGCACAGGCAGAGCTGGGGCTGACCCTGGCAGAAGTCACTCCAAGCTGTTGCTGGTGGGTGTGGGGGTTACCTACGAGCATCGCTACTTGGAGATGGGGACAGTTTTGGGCCCACCATCAGATCTAATGTTTTTTAACGTATTAATAAAAAGCTCATAGCATTGCATCACCAATGTGCTCTCTCTGTTCTGCTTTGATGGCTGGAGCTCTTGCAATTGCCTTCCTTTGTATTTATCACAATCATACTCTTACATGGGTTTTGTTCTTTGCATTTAAAACCATTATTCTGAGCAGGTGCCAAAGCGCTTCAGCAGATGTCAAGGGGATCCATGGCACAAAAACAGGGGGACGAGCTTCTCTCCCATAGACTGCAGCCAGCAAGATCCCCCAGAAACACTGGTCAGGTTACCCCAGGCTCGAGGCTGTTAGGGGCTTCCTTCGAACTGAGTCCCCACCCTCCAGCTTCCCGCCACACACACCCAGGACCCTCCTCGGCACAGCCCCCTCACTATCACCTCTTTTGTTGGTTGACCCAACCCTACTCCTCCTCGAGGCCAGCTCAGTGATCACTTTCCCCTGGAAGGCCCCCGCTGGCCTGATCTGCCCCTCACCAAGCACCAGGTGTGTTACTCCTGGAGCCCTCTGTGTGCCCCTGTGGGTTGGGCAGCCACCTGCATCCTCCCTGGTTGCATTCCCAGGCTAGGCTGAGCGGCACCTGGCAGGTACTCAGGGATACCTGCTGAAAGGCTCAAGGCATTGGCATCATCAGGAAGTGGAGAAGCAGGGACTGGCCACCACCCCTTCCCATGTGCAGGCTGAGCCCAGGGGCTGCTGACAGGCTCTATATACGGCCAAAACACACTTCCCGGAGCCTGCAGCCACATCAGGCCAGCATACACTCCCTGCACTCCAATCTGTAGAGCCTCCATCTGAGCAACAGTAATTGCTACCTCGAAATAGTAGGAAGGCACCTCAGGTATACCTGAGGGTTAACGAGGAGAATCACATCATGATGGATGGGTAGACAGGCACACAGGACATGCAAGACAAGGAACCCGGGGCCAGCTGTCATTGGTGTTGGGAACAAAAACAGCACCAATAGTGGGGCAGAGTTTGTGAGCATGTGGGTGCCTGCTAAGGGCACCATCCAGCCCAAATGCAGCTCCTCTCAGACACTGCTGCCCGGCAAATCTACGTCTGATTATAAGTGGGCTCCCTAAAACTCCCACCTCACTTTCCTATAGGCAAGGGATGACTCATCAGACCCACAGGGGCGTGGCTGGTCACCATGGCTCTGGGTGGGCATCTGGGGAGGGTGGATCGGCAACCCCTGTGGGTGCCGAGAGCCATCCTCTAGACTCCCAGGGACCCGCCTCGCCCCTGTGGCTGACAAGGTGGAGCTCCGGAGAGGGCACCCAGGTCCCCGAGAGGCCTTGGCCATTCGACCATTGCCCTCCATTTCCTCTGTAAAATGAGGATTGCAGTCCCCACAGCACAAAGCTGTTGTGGGGATGAAATCTCCATGTAGGTAAATGGAATAGTGCTTGTGCAAACAATGAAATGGTTTATTTTTCATTGCTGGTAAACCACAGTGCCCTGCACCGGTGAGATCCTGGGGGTAGGGTATGCACCCCTAAACCACAGATGTCCTTGCCCAGCTTGGAGGGTCAGACTAGATTTTTTAGTCCATGTTGGCACATTAGCCTTAAAGGCCAGTCAAAGCCAGTTTTTCAGTAAGAGAGAAGGGGTTTCTTTAATTGTCCACAGTGTTGCTTTCTCTACCACAACAAAGCCTGGGCAGCTTGGCTCGTGGAGTCTGACTGTAGAAATGAAGGCCTTGACGGAGAGAAGGTCTCACTGCAGCTGAAGGGAGCAGAATGGAGGAGAGGAGAAAGGCCAGGGGTGAGGGGACAGGCTTCTCCTCATCCCCAGCCCCATCCTCATGGGTCATACAGAACAGCCCTGACATTCGAGAAGGAAGGAAAAGCAAGAGAGCTCGACCCTGGCTGCTGCCTGGGACCTGGAAGGGGACGGGTTCCTAACAGTAGGAGTGGCTTCAGGGGCCCGAGTGGAGGTCCAGCCTGCTCAGGCCTGAGAGGGTGACCCAGCTCCCAGCTGTGCGTAGCAGACGCCTGGGTTCCCTGCACCCCAGGGACACGTGGGTGAGATAGCTGGGGACTGGCTTGCAGGTTTACCTGGCTCTAGGGGGCATCACCCGGCTTCAGAGGAAGACTAGGGGGTGCTGGGCTACAAGAGAGAAGGGCAGGCCTGCTTGCCAGGCCCCTGCAGACAGGACACACCCCTACTGCCCCCACCAGTCCTCTGCATGCAAATGGGGCTTTGTGGAGGTAATTAGGGGTAGATGAGTTCATGGGGGTGGGACCCTCATGATGGGGTTGGTGTCCTATAGGAACAGACACCAGAGAGCCTGAGTCCTCTCTCTCTGCCATGGGAGGACCCAGCAAGAAGGTGGCTGTCTGCAAACCAGGAAGAGGGTCCTCACTGGGGAATGACGCAGCTGGCACTATGATCTTGAAATTCCCGGTCTCCAGAACTGTGGGAAATGAATTCCCATGATTCAAGCCCCTGCATCTATGGGGCTTTTTATACCAGCCCAAGTGGAATGAGACAAAGGCTTTATGGGGAAGAGACCAAGCCACCTTCCGCAGGCCAGACTGCAGCTTTCCTCCTATCCTGAGGCTGAGTGCCTGGGATAAGGGTAGCACCACATTTAAGAGCGAAAGAAAGCCCCAGCTGGGCGCGGTGGCTCACACCTGTAATCCCAGCACTTTGGGAGTCCGAGGCAGGTGGATCACCCCAGGTCAGAGTCCGAGACTGACCTGGCCAACATGGTGAAATTCTGTCCCTAATAAAAATACAAAATTAGCTAGGTGTGGTGGCAGGTGCTTGTAATCCCAGCTGCTCGGGAGGCTGAGGAGAATCACTTGAACCCAGGAGGCAGAGGTTGCAGTGAGCCAAGATCATGTCATTGCACTGCAGCCTGGATGATAGAGATTCCATCTCAAAAAAAAAAAAAAGAAAGAATAGAATAAAAGAAAGTTGGATTTTTCCCCATGTTTGAGCCTAGGTGCGTAAGTGTTGACCCCACCTTCCACACAGACCCTCAGCATAGTCATGGGCCCTCACGGGTTCTCAGTGGGCCTTCTCAAACTAAACTGACCCTGGCCTCTCATGCCGCCCACCACACCCTGGGGCCCAGAACGGCCTGGGTGAGCCTGACCTAGTCTCTCCTTCCCACTGGCCCGAGGCTGGTGCCCAACAGACCCAGTAGAGCCACTGCCTCACTGCGAATTGTGGCTCTGAATGCATCAGAACCAGTATGAAGGTGGCCCTCCCGCCGGGAGGCAGAGGGATTCTCAGATGCCACAAGATCGGCTCCAGGATCATGGGCCTCGAGGGAAAGGCAGGGAACCCGAGGACATATTAGTGAGAATCTGCCCACTGGGGCCTGGGTCCCTCTACAGATGTGGCATGTCATGAGACCTGAGAAACAGAACAGCAAAGCGGGGATGTCGCTCCTGGCAGAAGAGGGAGCCTATGCAAAACTCCTGGGTTGGAAGCAGCGAGGCACCTTCCAAGCACGGAGGGGATGTGGAAGGGATGCCCCAGCAGAGGAGGTGGGAGGGGAGTACTGAGGCCAGACCACGAAGTCAGGAGAAGGATTCCAAATCCACTCCAAGAGCAATGGGTGGACACGGAGGAAGGATGATCGCAATGCACTTAAGAAGCTTACTCCAGGTCCCTGATGAAAAGTAGATGGAAGAGGTCAAGATGTGGGAATGTGGGGTTCAGCCTTGGGGAAGAGTGCAGAGAAGGGACAGGTGTGAGGGATGATGTGGATTGGAATGGGGGTCATCAGCCCCAAGGGGGAGGACGGGTCTCTGGGAAGGGTGTGCCGGCTGCTCCCATGAGGTGCAGAAGAGATGAGGGCTGGCCTCCCCTGGCTCCTGGCCAGGCCTGCCCCTCAGGACACAGGATCTTCCTGCTCCCCTAGCTCTGCCCCTGGGGCTGAAGGTGGCAGCTTTCATCTCAACAGCTTCCCTCCTGTCCTCACCACCTCCCACCCACACACACCATTCTTCACTATGATCCCCAGGCAGAACAGATCTCACCTTCACCTTCCTCTGTCTAAAATCCTCAATGGCTCTCCAGTGCCTTCAGAAGCAGGGCCCAGCCACCCTGCCTGGCAGTCAGAGCCCTCTTCACACTGGCCCTGGCTGGCTTCTCTCATGCTCCACTTCAGACACTTTCCCACATGGCATCCTTGCTCCTGACAGCCCAGCAAGTCTTCTCCAGAGCCTCGCTGCCCTCTTTTACTGCCAGTGCATTGGTTCAGGCCTGGAATTCCCACTCTCTCTGTCCAGTCTCTGAATTCTTTAGATATCTGAAGAGCGTTTGAAAAAACGCTCACCGTAAAAATTATATTTCAAAGGAAGGAGGCAATGATCGCCTTGCTTAAACCCTTGCTACCCCAAGGCATAAGATCACAGCTCCTGGTATGACCTCCAGGCCAGGAGGGGCTGCCTGGCTCTGCTCCCTGTGCTCCAGCAGCTGGCCTGGCTGTGCCTTGCACAGGAAGCCTGTC